CTGCAAGATGTTGCCCCTCATAGGGAGCAAATACTGAGTTGGAATGACCATTAATTTGATTTTGTATAAAAACAAAAAAAACTATTGTAAGTCATCTTACTTGGCTGTTTAGAAGAAAATGTGACTCACAAATGCTACCTCCAAAGTAAATATAAAAGTACATTGCAACCTTTGCAGTCTCTGAAGCCTACCAGTCAAGTCAGAGGAGCTGGTTTCCAAGTTTATCTGAGACCCTCACTACCCCTGGGAGGCCTCATCTGATTTGATCTGCCACCACACCTCTGCCATACCAGCTACCCTCTATGCTGCTCTGCCTCCTCTTCAGTCACTCTGGTTCGTTTCTATTCTTCCAACACAGCCAACATCTTCTATCAGGACCTTTGTACTTGTGGTTTCTTCAGCCCAGAAAGCTTCCCTCCTGTATCTGCAGGGTTCCCTCCATCAATTGACTTCATATTTTTGTTCAAATGTTGTTTCATCAAAGGTATGTTTCCTGATTATCATTTATAAAGTAGCACCTTATCACCTTCCACCCCCTTTCCACTGTTTTATTTTTATCCCTATCACTTATCAACAGATGACATATACTTATCTTTTGTTAATGTCTCCTCCCACATCACTACTAAAATATAAGATGCATGAGGGCCAGTTTTGTTTGCTTCTGTTTCCTCAGCTTCGGAAAAGTGCCTGACCCATAGTGGGTCCCCAGTAAATATATGTTGACTGAATGAATGAAGAGCTTCTCTTTTGGCCCATTTCTAACAGCAGCACAGTTAATAACAGAAACTTGAGTTTGCAGCTTGAGGCCGGAGTTTAAATTAAGACTTCATAATTTATGAGTTATAAAACATGGAGCTAGATAAATGACATCTCTTTGAGTTTAATTCTCTGTATCTGTAACATCATTAGAGTAACACCTATCATACTGAGGTATCTAAAAATATAAGTAAGTGTCCATTATGGAGTCACTATTGAAACCCTTCATGACATAGTAAATGTAAATTCTCTTCTATAATGTGTGGAGTTTAAGAATCATCATATTTTAAAATTTTTATTTTTCTAAAGCAGATAAAACTGCTTCAAGTACCTTCTTAATTGAATGGAGAGAAAATGTTTCTAATAGTGACATTAGAAATAATTTGAGAATCTACTCCTTAGGTCATGTAGGAATTCTAGGGTCCTACACATTCCAGATTGTTCTATGGGGCATCCTCTCATCTCCAGTCCATATTGGCTACCCTAACAGACTCATCGAGACAGCAAGGTCTCAGGTGGCTCCACTGTTCTAAATTGAAGACTCAAGGCATGGTGTCCACCCCCTCTAGGTATTACCATAAGTGCTTCCATCTGAGGTCTAGCCAACTCTCTATGATGTTGCATGGTACCAAAGCCTTGGTCCTTTCATCTGCAGAGCTGGCAGGATCCTAGTTCCTTCCTTCTGCTATCTCCAAAACACTAAATCTCTCTAAACCTCTCTTACTTCTCCAGTTGGCTCTCCTAATCCTTGGGGGTGTGGAGTGGGTCTTCTCCCTATTGATAAATATAGCCCCATCATTTCTAAGAGTTTGGGTTTTTCCAAACCAAAGTACTGGATGTGGATTATCTTTGGATCCCTGTAAATTCTCTTCTATAATGTGTGGAGTTTAAGTAAATTCTCTTCTATAATGTGTGAAGTTTAAGAATCAACGTCTAAGGCACAGAAAGACAAGGACTAGGCATTTTTTGCAGGATTCTGTGAAGGGAAATAAGTATATCAGTAAGAATAGAGCACAAGTTATTCTATTAATTACTCTGCCAAAATTGAATTCAATCAGGATTCTTGAAAGTGGGGATAATACACTAGAATACTCTTTCATCTCAATCATGATAAATATCCTATAAAGAAAGTTGTACTTCAACTTGGAATGTTTGTTTGTTTAAGTATCAGGTGCTTTCTACAACCAAAGGGGTCAATTCAAAGACTAGGAGTCAGAACACCAACCGTAAAACTGACTTTATGGACCTGAGCCTCATTAGAGTAATTGTTGGAACTCTTCCCCGAGTCCGTTCCTTCTTAGGTAACTGAAATAATGCTTTCTGCTTCTAGTCAGTTTTTCTTTCTTTCAGTGATGCTGTTACTTTAGTCACCTTATATTTCAAGTTCTGGTCACAAAGCTACCCCTCAAATATTAACTTTCTGTGGCATCACAGAGTGACAGCCAATAACTGGGCTATTGGTATTGCCACATCTCTTTCCTAATCCCAGCATTGAAAATGGAGAAAAGCTTCCTTTGGTGGTCCCCAAGCCTGGTACTTGTAACTTCTACTAGCAGCTGAAATCTTTCTCACACTTCTTACCTTATTCCTAGTAACTCAGTCAGGAAACCTTGACACACTCCTGCTACCTCTAGAGCAATGATCCACAACCGTTTTGGCACCAGGGACTGGTTTTGTGGTGTGTGTGTGTGTTGGGGCTGGTTTTGGGATGAAACTATCCCACCTCACATCACCAGGCATCTATTAAATTCTCATAAGGAGCCCACCAGCTAGCTCCCTCGCATGCGCAGTTTACAATAGGGTTCAGGCTCCTATGAGAATCTAATGCCGCTGCTTATCTGACAGGAGGCAGAGCTCAGGTAACAATGCTTACCCGACAGCCACTCACCTCCTGCTATGCAGCCCACTTACTAACAGGCCGCAGACTGGTGTGCTGGGATCCCTGCTGTAGAGGGAATAGATGTGTGTGTATGTGTGTGTGTGTGCCCCTTATTCTTTAGGCAGTTGGGCTTCTTCAAGGCAATTCTTTATCTACATCCAGCTCATACCTAAATTCAGGTCATCTGAGCCAGAAGATCCCTGCTACATTTCTTTGTGTTTGTTTAGTAGTCTACTATTTACTAAAAAAATTGTTTTGAATAGATTGCCTTCTTTAAATCTCTCAAGAATCTCATGTTATAGACAGTTTTATTGTTTTTATTTTTAAAAAGAGGAAAATTGGATTTAGTGAGATTAAGTGTTTTTCTCCAAGTTAAGAGCTGTTAAGTGCTAACTGGATCTCAAACTCAGGTCATCTGACTACAAATCCTTGCTTCTGGCCCTACACAACAACTGTAGGATCCTGATTTATATTTCACTTTCAAGCAGAGTATATTATTCATAACAGCTACTCAATAAATAATTATTGGCTTATTTATCACATTTGCATAGGCCAGACCATATATTTTGGAACTAGTTTAGAAGGCAGGAACTTGGAGATCACATATGAATTTTACCAGGTACACTCATACCTAATCAAATATAATCAGAAGCCAGAAGGTCTCTGAATTATTCTATGTAAGCATCCTGCTATTAGTGATGCTGTGATTGTCTAAGGGGCAGAGGGGAAAACATACTATAAGCCGATATGAAGGAGATAAAAGTATTAACAAACTGAAATTCCAACTTTGCCCTTCCTTCCAGTAAGTTTAGACCAGCCTTCCCTACTTAGTCACACCCATCACCTTTCACTTTTTTGCCACTTACCAGAAAGTAAGGATTTCTGTGCTTTTCCCTGGCAGAGTTAAAATAATGGGCAAAGAACAATCCACTCATAGAGGCAGAAGGAAAGGGAGAAGGGTAGAAAGAATGAGAGTCAGAAAGGAGTGGGAGGTGGGAATCTTACAAAAACAATTTGGAGGAAGCAACTCAGAAGATTGTTCATGGCAAAAATGAGATGTGTTGATAATGCATCTAGCAGGAGAATATAATGTGGATAAAATAGTTCTCTGGGATAAGGCAGCAAAATTAGAAAAATTCATGGAGCTTTTAAGAAGAATAACTATGAACTAGGTATTTCCATCCCCATCAGATGTTTATTCTGGAGATTTAAATAGATATAGAAATTCCTAGTTGAACTATATTTCTTTGAAAGCAAAGTAAGTTTATAACAACATGGGTGCCCAGATTTAAGAATGTTATATTGAGTCAGGTTAATATATATCAAGTGACTGAAAAATATGAGCTATCGTGCCTTTCTGTTGGTCACAGTATCTGTCATTATAGTACCTTCACAGGGATCACCAGTATTTTCCCTTTCTAAATTGTATTTTTAGTTGTAGCTATTTTCAGTATAAGGGTAGATAAAATTTTGCATGTTGAAGTCAACAATCTCAAGCCAAGACATAATGCCTGAATTAATGCCATTATTCTCAGGTTAAAAAATAATGGTTTCTTAGTTTTGAAATTACAAAGAGTAATGTCATACATTAAACCTTATATATGAAACCATTTCTTTTCTTATAATTAAACAAAAGGGCAGCATTTATTTTTTCATCCAATTTTGCCTCATGAGCTTTGTCTTTCCACTTCTCCCACTTGTCTTCCCACTCCAAATATTGAGTATGAATGTGGGGCCACTGATTCAATTATTTCAGTGTCAAATTGTTTGCTTCAGCTGTCATAATGGCTAACTATATGGCAATTTATTGGATTAAAAACACATGACATCAAAATGAATAGAATGTGTCTGATCTGTCATTCACCTATTTACTATACATGACAAACAATTGATCTGTTAGGCCATCAGAATAGCTCTAGCCCACCTTCAAATTCTACTAATCTTATACAGAATAACCTGTTTTACTTAAAAAACACACTGAGCTGAAATTCACTCTTGCTGCCATTTCTGCTCCGCTATTCCAAAAGCCTTTCAATTAAACAACACACACACACACGCACACACACAGAATTTGCCTTAAGAGAGAAATTACTGTATAGCTAAGAGAAAATTATTTTAATTTTATATAAAATTTTAAAAGGGATAATTTATCTCTGTCTTCACTAATCAAATCTCAAATTTGTAAAATGTAGGTACCTTTTCTGTTAGCGATAAGTACATTAGTGGGAGAATTGATGGTAGTGGTTGGAACTCGAAACATTTTATTTGAATTCTATGTCATTGTATACAGACTCTTCTATGTATTTTAATTCTTATAACTTTTCCAAATGCCAACATTTAGAAATAAAATTGTCCATACTTTAGGTAGGTTTGCAAGTTTATTTATTAAAAGCCCCCAAAATACCTTTTCATCTAGTTTTGTTATACAATATGAACAAGGTATCCTTGTTTCACTTTCCAAGAAATTTATTTCTGATTCCACCTAACTCAGAAGTAATTCTAAGTACTTTTATAAAATAACAATACACAATTTCCACTAGACTTAGTGTCATAAAATCATTATTGTTACTGTGAAGTTTCATAACAATTTAGTTTGGACATGAATACTTGTGTGGGGGATATATTGTCCGTGATATCTATAGTCATCTGGTTCAGTTCCAACAGGAAAGGGAAATAATAGAATTGAAGTTCAAGAAAAATCATTAACAGTATAGGAAAAAACAAATAAATTATACATGAGAAGAAAGAAACAGTATTTTACAAGCTACACAAATCACAGTTCTGTTAGACATTCTGTTGCTCTAAAGCTCACAATTGCCTGTAGAATCACAAGCAAACTCCTTAGTAATGTCAAGTGTAAACATAGCGGTTCACACTTGATTTTCATCGCTCCTCCTCAAGCAACTTATATTCCCCCTCTGTCCCGCTTATATTGGACTCCGTGTCACACCAAAACTCCTGCATTTTTTCCACCTTGATGCTTTTTCTCTTGCCATTTTCCTTTCTAGAATGCAGCAATTCTATCAGACTATTCCTGTCCTTCTCCACTGTAGTGCAGTCGAATGCATCTTTTCTCCTCTATGATGTCTTCCTTGATTCAGCCAGAAAAAATTTCATTGATATATTCTGACAGAATTTTGTGGTTTTCTATTCTTATTCATCATATTCTAGCTTTTATTATGGTTGTGCACCTTACTTTTTTTTAATAGATTCTAGAATCCTTAAGAGTGGAGAAGATACTTTATTCATTCTTGTATCTCCCCTTAATCCCAGCACAATACCATACTGATAGTAGGAGATGAAGAAATATTTGTTTCATTCAACTGAACTGAATTTACACTAACTCCTTAGGGAATCCAATAACCAAGATTAAAAAGTTTTAGTGTATTTAATAGACTTTTCTCTCCTCCCCACCCCTTTAAGTATATTTGGGAAATATAAAACCTCTAAAGAAAAATTAAAGGTTTTAAAATTAGTCATGAGCATATTTCTCAAAATGTTATGATTAAATGTTGAAGTAGATAGAAAGATAAACTGGAGTCTGCTTGTGTGTTCCTAAGAATACACATTGGATGTGATTATGAAAAATTACTAGGTAGATGGCTTTGAGGCTAATAATTTCACAAGTTATTTAAATTGTCTGTCATTTAGAAGTGGCAGACGTTAGTGTTCCTTCCACCTTGACTGAACTTAAGCCTTTTATCTGAAGGAGCTCTTCAATCTGAAGAGACAAAGTTGTATAACTTTCTTAATAACCACCTGGTACCTGGTAGTGAACTGTGTTCTTCCACTGGGACAAATGCCTTCTAATATTTTATATATTCCTGGTCAGTGACTTAAAAAAAAAAAAAAAACCTACCCAATTGCAGTCTGCCATTCAAAAGGAATATTTCTGCAAAGAAAAAGATGTGAAAATGTAGGCATTCAAGTGAAAATTCAATCCTTCACAGTACAGAGCCTCTGCGAAGTCTTTTAAATGACCCTTTTTATCATGGTGCCATGTCTGTACCTTTCTGAATAGTGAAACCTGGTAAGAAAAATAGATGTATGTATACAAGTGGTTGAGTAATGTATTACTCATATGCACTTTGTTCTTTTTGGCAAACTGACCTTATCAAAGGAAAGAAAGCTATACATTGTGACAAGCTGAGCTTTACCAGAAAGTCTGAATTAGGAGTGCAAGTCCTCTGTTATCTGGATTAAAATGTGATCGGAAAAAAAAAAAAAATCATTATTTAACCTCTTCAGAAGTGGAGATGCTGGAAAATTGACTTCCTTTAAATCAAAACCTAAGCTTTCTTATTACATTTGGACTTAGCAATCAGAGATGATTTGCATTAAAACAATCATATTTTTTCCTCTAAATATTTGTCCACTTTTTGATGTTCAAATAAACAGTGTTAGATTGTTTGATTGTCTATACTTTACAGAGGACTATTATAAGAGGTTGGTAATGAAATATTCTTCATTAGTTTCTCCAGGACAAATGCTGTGTCTTATTTTTTACCTCTGTAGATGACATTTAAATAAAAAAATTAAATTTTTGAATTAATATTGTATGGTAATTAGAAGGCCTTAATAATTATTTTAGAAGCACGCCCATTCCTGGAACTATTTAAAAAAAAATATTTCCTCATGCTCATTTAACCCATTTTAGTGAAAATATTAAATTATTTTAAAAATTAGTGAAGGAATAATGAATCCAATTCATTCCTTTAAAAATAAACAGAGACATGGAACTCAAACTTGCTCAACCGCAGATCTTTTTCCTTTGTAATAAGCAACCTCTTTGCAAATGAGTACATAAAGATGGACAAAATATCTGGAATGGATAAAGCCAAGAGGAAAAAAAAAAAAAATTTACATAACACAAAGGCACATAAAACTATTGCTATTTTATTCACAGTAAAAGAGTGTGTGTTGCTGCTGCCCAGTTACTGTGCATGTGAATTCACCAGATCTGGACGTATTTGCCCAATTAATTACTCTGCTGTTCGACAATGATGGGTAATGGTCCAAGCATCCTGCTCCTCCTCAGATCACCGATGGAATTCATGCACGCATAATGTCCTCTCTTCAGAAAATGATCCCAACAAGCTCTATAATTATTTTTTTTTCTTTTGAAATAAAGGCATCCGTTCAATTATATGTTAAAACAGTTTGTGGGAGAAGAAATGGAAATGAAGCAGGATCTCTCTCTCACTACCTTTCTGGGGAGAAAGCTGGAAGATGAACTTCCCCATTCTACTCTTTCCAGGAGCGAACTTCGGTATTAAAAAAATAATTGCTGATCAAAATTGTTCATCATTACCCTTAATTAGTCTGTTGGTTTTCAGTAGTTTTCTTCATTAATACAGATGAAGGTGTGTTCTTCCACGTTCAACGATACATGCTATCCCTCCGTGCTGGTAAGCTTATGATGTAGCAGATCAAACAAAGAACCCTCGTGTACAAATGCACAGCAGTCCCGGTAAACTGGGCTAATTAGCATTGTAATTAGCTCACGTGATAACTAAAACAAAGTCAGAGTAACACAGGAATCACTTAGAAAGGATATCAAGTGGTGTCGTCCCCCTTCACCCGCCAGCCCTCCCGCCCTTGTTTCTAATGCTGAGTAGAGCCCGGAGTCAACCTCCTTTCCAGCTCCCCACTCCCCAGCTCCCCAGCTCCCCAGCTCCCCACCTCCTGGTGGCGCAAGCCAAGTTCTCTGCCCAGGCCTGGAAGTTAAGGTATGCGCAGGGCTTGCCTGAGGTTGCCGTTGCGATGTTGTTGGGATATCAGTGTAGTGCACTAAATGTTGCCAGTTAAAGGAAGCTTACAAAAAAGATCTTCCCCCTTTGGCTTTGCTGGAATTGGCTGACACAGTTCGCTTTATAAGCATGAGAACTGGAAGCAAGAATGGAGACTTGGGCTTCCTTTCACGTAGATTTACCAGCTTACTTAGGAGTAAATGCTAAGTATAATTTGCGGAGTTCTACTCACACACTTCTACACCAACGTGACTTATAAAACAGAAATCCCTAAATGGGGCCCACATGCCTAAATGGTTTTCTTTGGCATTTTACAACGTAATAATAATAGCTAAGGCATCTCACTATTTGATGTGGGATTCTTTCTAATTGTATCCAATTATGAAAAAAGTTCCAAGGCTTTATTCAGAGGAAGTGAGGGCAGAGATCATCAATGAAAATCAAAAAGAAAAATGACCACCGTAGGGGGAAAAAAGTCAATAATTGGGATAGCACTAATCCATTCTTTAAATAACTTTGTGTCACTTAAGATTAATGTGTTTTCACTCTTTACTATATTTGATCCTTACAACTACCCCACAAAAGAGATACAGAAAGTATTTTAGTTCCCATTTTACAGAACAGAAAATGGCCTCAGTTGTTCTGAGTGACAGAGAATGTAATCAGCAGACGGCATCATCCTCAGGTTTCTAGTTCAGTGAGGCTTCCATTACACCAAACTGACTGTGCGTAAGGCTTTCGTTTCTCTTAAAGTCAGCGAGACTGGGGAAGTTGGTCTTTTTTTTTTTTTTTTTTTTTTTTTTTTTTTTTTTTAATTATTCTTGGTTTAACTTAAACTCAGTCATTATTTCTAATTTAAACTGTCTTATTTTAAATAGTTTTTAGTTAAAGCTATATTTAAGCCCATTTCAGCACAAAAATATCAACCATTATTGAAAAAATTAAATCCATAAGAAAAATATTTTCAAAAAATATACAAGGTGAGGGAACTGTCAGAGCTGTTAGTAAATGCGAATCATAGGGGCTAATTTTATTATAATACATTTAGCATCATATAAAATCAGTATCTCTGAGTCATGGTACATCGACATCTTTCTAGTGACAAGAATAGGATTTCCTAAAGCTCTCAAATACTGCAGTCTCTTTTTCTAATACCTGTGTTTCATGCATATTTTGGAGAATTTGATGTGTATGATAATTGGTATACTTTAAAAGTATATTCATGTGATTAACATGCATGAAAAGATATCAATTTTGACCAAACTGATGAATCGATGGTCATTAGGTCTATTTTCACCTCAATTTAGTCTGTTTTATAGAATCTGATCAATTAGTTTCCAAAACAGCAGATCCAGTACTATATTAGATGTAGCTTAAGTGGCAGGATTAGACTGTTGATCCTCAGGATTGATGGTGAAAGCTTGGTAAATATTCATAAAATGTTATTTGAGATTTCCTAACGATTAATCTGAAAGAAAGAAATGGATACAACATTAGTAAAACCTTATATTTATATCCTGTGTAATATATGAATAATTTTAATAGAGATGCAAGTTGTTTTTGGTATTTGCCACAAAATTAAGTATAAATCAGCTTGCTCCAATCATAAAATAAAAATAAGGAACCTAAAGATAGGCATTTGGAGTGTCTATTGGGAATTAGCCAATCCACAAAAAAAAAAAAAAAAAAAAAAAAAAAGGTGTATTCTCTGTTTATACTCTCTTGTCTTCTTTTATCAAAAGATTGTGGGAAACTGCAATTTGGGGTGCATTGGCTGTTATTCAATAAGCTTAATTTTGATATAAGAACATAGGAATAAGTGGGCAGAAGGGTAATCAATGGTAAGTGAAGTTAAGACTGATGCAATAGACTTCCCTCCCCAGTCTCCAGATTTAATTTGTATTAGAAATGGAGAAAGGAAAATTGCAATACAGACTTCTTTTTAATTTTCATCCTGAAAAAATAATTTTGAGCCATGTTTTTACATAATTTTGAAACTTAAATAAAAAAGGCACAGACACAGGCACCAATTTACAAAACAGGAGAGAAGAGCGTAACCTGGCAGTGTGGAGCAGAATATGATATCCTGTACTTACCAAATGAGTGTGAAAGTCACATTTGACAGATCAGTACAATGGAGTAATATTTTTTAGGAAAAAATCAAGGATGAAAGAAAATACAATTATTGCAAGTTGAGATATAAAAATATGTCCATCTCTGTGGGGCAAACTAAAATTACAAAACAGTTCACAAACATAAATACAAAGTAGCAATATTATATATCCAAAGTAATCTATTACATTCACTTTATCATACTGCTGTTTTTATTTTATTATATTATTATTGCACTTCTTCATGATAGTGCATTCATTATCTGTGTTTTCTTTTATTCTCTACATCTGGGTTCTAATGGGGGGCTTCCTGAACTCGTGAAATTGCATGCAGATTTTAGTGTGTGTGTGCAACAGTATTGTACATTTGTGAGAAGAGGATCCATAGTTTTTGTGAGATAGACTAGGAAGCCTATGACCCCAAGTGATTAAAATCCAATATCCCAATGATTTTTTCTCTTTAAAATTTCTCTGTGCAGACTTTCAGTGCTTCATACCCCAACAATGCCAGTAACCTCCCAGCTGCCTTCCCACCCTCCTGCCTCCTTTCTCCAACTCACCCTCTATAACAAATGCCACCAGATCAATCTTAGTGAAACATCATCTACATCATGTCTCAAATCCACTAAAAAACAAATTAAAAAAAAAAACAATGATAGCTTTCATTTTACTTACAAGGTCAAATTCTGACTTCTCATTTTGGCATTCAAATCCATTTCATATCGGGTTCTCCACCACCTCTACTGATAGTAGCCAACATTTACAGAGTGGCGCTAATGTGCCAGGAACTGTGCTACGTGTCCTACATCAATGGACTCACAAAATCACCCAAATTGCTCTGTAAGATGCTTTGAGATTTCAGAGGTACAATCATCAGCTAGTAGGTGATAGATCCAGAATTCAAACCCAGGCATTTTGACCCTGTATGAGATTTCAGCCATGATTTCTCCGGCTTACTTAATTTACTTCTTGCCAGTATGAACCTTCCTCTCTGGACAGCTGAGAATCCTCACTGTCAACTGAATAAAGCATATTTCTGACCTCAAGCCTTTTTCATACTTCGCCTTCCCCATTCTCCAAGGTTGTACTCAAGTCTCACCTTTAGAATGAATAATGCATTCATTAGCTCTTCTGTCTTGAAACCGTAACATCCATAACATTCATTCAACCACATCCCTGTGTTACTAATATACAATTTTGCATTACGAATTTTCTCTAACTGGACAGTAAGTGACTGGTGGGCAGGGTTTTCATCTTGCATTTTTTGTTCTCTCATCTTTAGCACATAGATCAGTGCTGTTCATCAAGTTTGCATTTGAAAAATACTTATTGAGGGATTAAATTAACCTGAACTTCTAGAGAATGTCATGTTTGAAAAATGATACTGTAATTAGTTCTCTAACATTCTATTATGTCTTGATAAAAGCTTCTGTGTATGGTGGCAGGTGGGCTTATGAGCTATTGTTACCATGCTGAAACTGGCTTCCTATGTTGTCTCAGTTTGCCTGGAGTAAATCTGATAGACATTAAAAAGAAACTGCCCAAAGTGAGTGCCCCTGTGTGTGCATGTAGGGTGGAGTGGAAGGGAATATACATTTTCATGTAAAAATGATACAAAATTACAAGAAATTTTAATGCAAATTTTTCCTTTAAATGAATTTCAGTGCTTACTGGGTTAGCTCACTCTCAAGAAAAGGATCAATTTAGTGAAGAATCTCTCCCTGATACAGAGTCAGAACTTCAGCTCAAAGTAGGTCAAGAAAATTCCAAGGATTCAGATTACAAGGCAGTTCTTGGGAGTGGTTAGACCCTTAGTTCTTTTAATACTTCTTGGAGCTATGTGGAGTAGTACAAGTTTCCAGTGCTGGGGCCAATGTTAGGGTGTCTCTTCTTCATATCTCTTGGGCACTGATCCTTTCTCACCATCAGACACTCCAGCATCAACTGACAGAAAGACAAGGAAGAAAGGGATACATCCATATGCTTGAGAAACCAATTCTCTCGGCTAGGCAGAACTGTCTACATTAAAACTCTTTGTTTTCTTCTCTTATATACACAGAACGCCTTGTGTCTAATGTAAACACATATTACTCATTTTATTATCCAACCTTTAGAACAGTGTGATATGGAATATATTTTGTATAATAAATTATATTATAGTTGATCTGAGTAATTATATACATATGGATGTGCAAATTTATAATAGAATGCTTTTACTATCTTAAAAATCCTTTTGAAATGTCTAAAAGTAACTCATTTTGAAGCATCTAGTCATTCAGTGGATAACACCCAGGGCTTGGATGCATCACTATAAATGACTCAGCTTTCCTTTTAATAGTTTAAAATGCAGGGCTTGGACTAAATCAGGAATCACTTACATGCTTACAGACAGAAGGCAGATAATGAATGCCTGAAGTAGGCTTGGAAGAAATCTCTCTAAGAAGTACTGAGGACTGGGGCAAATTGGAGAAAGTATGCCCTGTCTAAAGAGAATGGCAAGTGTTCAGTCCCAGGTGATTTTATCCTGCAAGAAAGAAAACCCACTGTTACAAAACCTTCTGGTTTTTCATGAGAAGCAAGGTTTTTTAAAAATGTGAAATGCCCTGGGTTTTGAATTAAGAAAAAAAATCTGCTTTTGAAAACTGGGCAGACCAAACAAAGCATATGCGAGAATGGGTTCTGGCCTAGAATTTACGAGTTTGTTGCTGCAAACTAGATGATCTATGCCTGTTTTTTTTGACCCATGTAATGTGTAGTTATATATGCAACTATTTCTCAAGTATACTGTCTCAAAAATGCCTTAAAATTGAAAATATTCAGTTGACAAAAGCGTGGCTGAATTAAGAACATTTCCTCCTAGACTCTCTATTAAAAACACTGGAAGATGGAGGAATAGGAATAGTTATACTGTACTGTAGCGTCAGCAAAACTTTTCATTCTGGTCTTCATGTTGTTCTCACCTATAGACTCTGGTTAAGATGAACTCTGGTTAAAAATTTCCAAATGAATATAATATTGTACCTGGAGAAAGGGTCTCAGGATAAGGTTATCAGACTCTGGACCAATCCTGAAAATGTTAAACAAATAATATTCTGTGAGAATTAGTCTTGACCTCATCTTGTTTCACAATATCTGAGTGACTTATTTTATTTATTTATTTATTTATATTTTATTTTATTTTATTATTATTTTTTTTTTTTTTTGAGATGAAGTCTCGCCCTGCCACCGAGGCTGGAGTACAATGGCATGATCTCGGCTCACTGCAAACCCCGCCTCCTGGGTTCAAGCGATTCTCCCACCTCAGTCTTCTGAGTAGCTGGGATTACAGGCATGTGCCACCATGCCTGGCTAATTTTTTGTGTCCCTAGTGGAGACAGGGTTTCTCCATGTTGGTCAGGCTGGTCTTGAACTCCTGACCTCATGATCTGTCCCCCTTGGCCTCCCAAATGCTGGGATTACAGGCGTCAGCCACCGCGGCTGGCCCACTGACTTACATGATAGAAAGGCATGTTGCTCCTTATTCTAAGATTGGAACTGGACTTGATGAGCTGCCATCTGCCTGGCTCAGTCTTAACTGTTGAACAGGGTAGCTCCTCTTTGGAGCATTCTGCTAGGTACCTTAGAATGATATCATGGAAAATGTAAAGAAATGA